TCCACTGGCGAAACGGCGTACCAAATACGATTAAATTATCGGAGAAGTGCATATCTCCCAATCTCATAATGAAATCTATATTATCTACTAAATTTTCTGCGCCGTCATGCAAATGCATGAATGACTCTTTGCATTATTATAAAGACGTCTTGCAAGCGTAGGTATTTGTCCCATTGAAAATGATTACCCCAACACGAATTAAAGCGCCTGTCGTGTTCGTGTTGGAGAATTCACTAATGAGCATTCCTATGGGTTTTACCAATGTTTCCAATAATTAAAAATTTTGAAGGCTCCCCAAAAGGACGGAACGTTGAGTATTCAAAGGACAGCTTCCTGACCCCGAGTGGGATGAATTCTCACTCCACCTTTGTCTTTATTTTTGGATATAGCCATTTTTCCTTGTTTGTGGTTCGTTGTTCTTTGTGGTGTGAAGCACCTATTCAATTCCAAAATAGCCGAATTTTCATATTTCTTTCAAAATTTGTAGTGATGTGGGGTAAGAACTCCCTACGTGTGATGATACTGTTTGGTCAAGTTTTTCAAATATGGATTCTAAATGTTACAATTATTTTTGAGAATTTACAAAAAAGTGAGCATTCACCCGATGCGAGGAGTATTGAAAATTACCTGGGGCCAGGAAGCAGGGCCCACTGGTAAAGGAATGGTAATAATTGAATTACTAGCATGAAACCAACTTTTTCAATGGACAAGAGAGTCCATATATGGGGCTGCGAAACAGTCGTTCAGGGGGGAGCTTAGTGAAGACCTAGATTAAACAGCTCAGTGGTCCTTTTGCGGTACACGCATTTGGTAAATACACCGCCGGCGCTTGTTTCAATCTAATCGCTGTCCAATAGCTTTGTGAATTAGTTTCAATTACCACAGATTTTCGGAATCACCTATATATAGGGGTACAAAGCAGAGGCGGAAGCCATTTGGTGATATATCTTCGAGAAGAGCAGACCTCTAACAATGTCTAAAGCGTGTAACTGGGGAAGGTCCTGCAATTGTAGTGACTGTCGACCCACGCTAAAAGAAAAATGTGAAATTTGCTATGAAAGAAACGGATGTCTGGTTGGGAGTACATTAAGGAAAGACAGAAAGGGGATACAATACTACGACTTTAAAACGTGTTGTCAACAATGTTATCATGAAAATTATGGTGAGAGAAAAGAACAGACCTTTAATATGATGTTGCACATGCTCGAGGATTCGATTAAGAAAACTCCTAAAACGACTGAACATGTCTACATTACGAAGCGAAAGGAAATTAAAGAGGTGTTGTGCAGATTATTTAGAGAAGAACTGTGTGAGAGCGATAGCGATCGAAGCAGAATGCCGCAAATCCTCGATAAACTTAAAGTGAAGATATTTTGGGGAAATACGATCGGGGAAAAATTTGAATATGAAAGTGATGAAATTGAATACAACCATACGGCTCATTGGTTCGAATGCAATATTTTACCTGAGATAATAAAGAAAATGGAGGAATCGATTCATGTTACAGCAATGCAAATTTCGGCTACATGTAAGTTACCTAAAGTTACGTATGAAACGGAGGCGCAAGCTCGCCGTCGAGAATGGTGTAGAAGACATTTGTAGTGAGGAAGATGTGTCTTGTCAGAAGACGTACCGGCCATGGAAAAAACGATGAGCATACCTATTGTAAAAATTCTCCAATTCTGCTTGGGATGGACCCTGATTCGGAAGCATGGTCTTCGAGCTTAATTATTAGACATAAGATAATGAAGTTTGATGTCATGTTTACACTACACAAAATAAATATTAAATCGTTGTCATCACATGCATAATTTATGAGAACCTATTTATGATATCCGGAAATTCAATTATCGAATGTCAACCCTCGGACGCTCTAAGCAACAACCGGAGCAAAATGACACTGGCAACAAAAAGAAACACCCTTTGTTCTACGCAAGCAATATGTCTATCAAACGTTGTTCAAGCTCCAAGCTCTGTTGCGATTTCGGGGACGTCCTCCAGGAAGATCTTTCCTAAAGTTGAACGGTGCTGGATAAGGGTAATCTTTACAGCGTTCTTGCTAAAGGGGTTTAATTGACGTCCTGGGATACGAAATCGAACGCGAATGGATGTGCAAATGCTTTATAAGAAGTGGATGACTCACAACGCCTGTAGACTACGAGAAACTACAATAACTTCTTTTATTATTATTTATTATTATCCCTCTCTTGTTCTGGGCCCTCAACAGGCTTGCGCTCAATTACAGAGTGCATAATGCTTTTTAGTCTCTGCAGAAGGTCTTAAGTTGTTATACTACTCCGGTATTTACCGTACGAACTAGGAAAACTGCAGGAAAACCTATCTCAGAGTAACCGGAAGAATGCTCGAAACTGATGAAATTCCAATCTCTCTCACAGATGAAAAATTCTTACCTCTGCCCAGGTTCGAACACCTGACCTCCGGCTTTATAGTCCAACGCTCTTCCATTGAAGTCGGTTGTTCGATGTATAGATTTTGCCTTTGCCTTACAGACCCCATCTTTTATATTCTGCCCAGATCGGAACAGTAGATCAAGAGCCCTTTTGGTAGATTTATATCTATCTACCTATTATAATGGTACCCGTATATTTATAGGTTTATGACTTCCAAGAAACATTCTAACTTTCATATTTATGAACCGATTTCAACCACACTTTAAGGGTTGGTGTAACTCTCGATCAGTAGATCAAGAGCCCTTTTGGTAGATTTATATCTATCTACCTATTATAATGGTACCAGTATATAGGTTTATGACTTCCAAGAAACATTCTAACTTTCATATTTATGAACCGATTTCAACCACACTTTAAGGGTTGGTGTAACTCTCGATCAAGTTCGTGAATCAGCCAATTCCGCCATATTGGAACAAAATCTACCCACACCTGATCGGTCGAGCCCAAAGGGATTTTTTCTTATCACAGTGGTATTGTGATCTTCATGGGGAATTTTAGCATAGAGAATCGCCCAAAAAAATCGGACCAAATGTTCAAGGTTTCGGTGACGCTCACATGAACCACCTTCTTTAGACTAGACTCATTCCTCTAATGATATGTATTGATTGTCGATTTCGAGGAAAGGTCCAATGTATAAACTGGTAAATAGGTACCTACTACAGATAAACAGATAACAGATAAACAGATGAACAGATGAACAGATAAACAGATGAACAGATAAACAGATGAACAGATGAACAGATAAACAGATGAACAGATAAACAGATGAACAGATAAACAGATGAACAGATGAACAGATAAACAGATGAACAGATAAACAGATGAACAGATAAACAGATGAACAGATAAACAGATGAACAGATAAACAGATGAACAGATAAACAGATAAACAGATGAACAGATAAACAGATGAAGAGATTTAAAAAAGCTGTTCATTTGAAGGCTGTTTCCGAACACCGTTTTTAATCTGCTTATCTGTTGACTCGTTTACTATGGTTTATTTGTCTTCCCGCTAAATCGATAATCAAAAGCAGCTTGATTGCGGGATTAAGCAATCCTTTATTTAATTTATCTTTCGAACGCAAAACACCCTGCAGTTTATGTGGAAAATATGTAGCATTCGAATCGATGGAAGTGGCTTGGTTAATACTCGACTTCCAGTTGAGCTATATACATATGCCCGGATATCAGTATTCTGAATAAAAACTTGGAAAATATATTTATTTGGAGTAGGTCGAATGGACTTAATTTGAACCCTAAGAAAACGGTGGCCATATGTGTTGGAGTATGAAATATTCGAGAGGTAGGTATATTCATTGCGAATAAACGTAGAGAAATTACTTTAGATGGTCGTCTAATACAGCTAGACAACAGTACTAAGAATCGTCGCTTATACAAAAAATTTAAACTTCGAAATTACGAACTGCCTATGGGAAACTGAAAGCGTTATACGAATTTAGGGATTTGTTGAACGGACCATTAAAATATTCTGACAAATTCTTTGATTCAAAGTCAATTGGACTACACTACAGTCTACTTGTATACTTTCCCTACCTGACTGCAAGAATTAAAAACAGAAATGACGTTCTTCAGAATGCATAGTTTCAGATTTTCATTCTATGTACCAAGGGGACATCACGTTAATAAATATAAGATTCTTGTACGTCGAGAAATTGATCGAGTATTAAATTTTGTCCATAAGTCATTATTGTATAAACTATCATTATACCTTTTCAATTTATTAACTTTTATAACGTCAAAAATGGGACTCGGGAACCATTTGTTATCCATCCCTGCCGTTAGGTACGAGAAGCTTAAGGTCCGCTTTTGAGATATAAATATTATAATTGTATTATTTTCTTAATAAATTATTATTATTATTAGGGACCTAGCACTAAATTAGATAAAAGGCTAAAGCTAAAGATTAATGGAAAGCTCGTCTTAGTGTTTAAAATCTGCTACATTGCCATCGGAAAACCTGGATCCCCAATTTGTAGAGGACCATACAATGAGTCCAGTTGAGGCTTGTTCGATTACTAGAACATGTGGTATCAACTGAAGAAAAATAGATGGATATTAGAAGCCAATCATCGCTGTATAGGTCACGAGAATGTAAACTATCAACACCGAGCAAACTGGCTGATATACAGAAAATGATAAACAGGATATACACCGGTACAATTCGCTCACCAATGAAGCGAAGGCCGAATTTATACGAAAAACCTTCATGCAAATTCGGTATGCACGACTGATGAAGGGTAAGCAGATTTTATACGAAAAACCTCGAGAATTCTGAAAAAATTCCGTTGTTATTCTGTAAGAAGTTCCAGTTGTCATGGTAAAGGCATAGGCAGCGGTTGAGAATGTTCGTCTTATAGATACACCTCTTTCCACGGCCACCCAGGAGGCAATAAATTCACATTAAAGTAATGTAATTTTATTGGAGGTGTTTATTGGCCTCGTTATAGGGTTCCCCATTAGAAATTTCTTATATATAGAGTATATAAAAAACAACTAATAGGCCTACCATAATTTTTGAATGTCAAATGATTACAATTTAAAAAGTAAAAAAATACATAAGATGCAGACACAAACAGTAACCGAATTCCACACTGGCATATAGCTTGATTCTTCCTCCTACCAATTCTCCACCCACGACACTCACTCTTGCCGTTAGAGATGGACTCTCCCAACATTACGTGATTCGTTTTTTGTGTGTGCAAAAATATTGCGCCGGTGAACGAGAGCTGGGTTCACTCCGGAAAATGAAACAAAAATCCGTCTGTGGAAACATCATCGCTAAAGGGGTTGTACGAATTCCTGTCTACCGGAGCGCTATGAGACGTTGAAGAATCTTCAGACCGCAATAAAAAACATGAAGGCAGCGCAGCGCTAGTCCACACGTACAACATACACACACCCTTCTTACAGTTCTAGTGTCTCTTCCTCGACTTGACCAAACACCGAAGAGGAACATGCGACGGTAGATACAAAAAGATGGATCGCTCGGATCGGTGATTATGATGAAATAGTGTAAAGTTTCCAAAAATACCAATAAACATAATTTTTCATTGTGAAAATAATTGGGAACCTTATTTTACGTAGGTACCAGCTCCCGGTAGAAGAAGAACATTCGCGAGAGTGAAATCGCAAATTATTCCTTAGGGAAATGAAAAACTCCTTGATGTTTATATATCATTTATTAACACAACTCAAGAAGGTATATTATTTATATTTAAATTAAACGTATAATATTCTTGATCAGAGGCAGAAGTGGTTTCTGATGTGTAATTGCAGAGAGTTCAACTATCTCTTTGATTAATCCATATAACTTTCCACAACAGTTGCAGATTTCCATCCGCATGCCCGACTCGATTCGTTTTTTTTGTGCAAAAAAGATTGCGCCGGTGGACGAGAGCTAAGTTCCCTACACGACTCCGGAAACAAAAATCCGCCAATGGAAACATCATCACCAAAGCCGTCTGCGTGAGTTTTCTTTTTAGGACCGGGGTTGTGTGAATTCCTGCCTACCGGAGCGCTGTGAGACGTTGGAGAACCTTCACACCGGAATACAAAACAAGAAGGCAGCGCAACGCTAGTCCACACGTATCTGACGAAACATCGAGGAATAACATGCGGGGTAGATTCAAAAAGATGGATTGATCGGAACGGTGATTATGATGAAAAAAAAGGAAATAGTGTACAATTTTTAAAAACGTCCCTATTATTCCGTAGAGAAATGAAAACTCCTTGGTGTTTATATATCATTTATTAACATAACTCAAAAAGGTACATTGTTTACATATAAATCAGACGTAATGTTATCACATTTGATCAGAAGCAGAAGTGGTTTCTGATGTATAATTGCAGAGAGTACAACTATCTCCTTGATTAATCCGATTCAAGATAACTTTCCGCAACATCCACGATCCTCACATGCCCATTGGGGCTCATCTGAGTGCTTCTAAACGTCCAGAAAACGCAATATTGGCATATCGAAAATTTATCACGATTACAATACTTTCCTTTATACATACTTTGTATGTAGAGGGAAAGTAACAATGGAGGCCTAACAGGTTTCTTTGTTAAGAATTAATCTATTGTAGGTCTGGTTAAGTAAAAAAAAAGTGTGGGTTGGTAAATTAATAGATTGATATAGAAAAACTAATTCAAAAATACATTAGGAGGGATACCAAATCTGCACATTAATCAACATCCATCGGGTTATCGGCAACATCTTGAGGTTTATCAATAGCATAATGGCCCCACGGAAGAGTGTTAAATGAGCCGGGAATTAGATACCTCTTATCGTCTTCGGGACTTAGAGCAATTTTCGACTGTGTTATAGAATACACTTGATGTTTATCTGTCCGAATCAAATTTTGAGATGCTGTTTTGCGCTTAAATGTCTCCAGACATTCCACATAATCATCAAAAGAAATTTTAGTCTCGACTACACTTTTCTTTACCCCCTTTGCCTTTTTTATCAAACCATAATTTTTAATAATCGTAGCAATTTCATCCTCCTCATACTCTTCCGCTTCTAATTTCTGACGCAATTTTATTAAATCATCCTTGGTGGTTAATACTTTGGTCGTGTACAGTTTAGATCGCAATCCTACATAATCAGTCATTACTTTCCCATTATTTTCATCCTTCATCATACCCAAGACTTTCTTATTTACAAGAGGTATGTCATATGGGTTGTTAGGGTTAAAATCGCTGGTATCGTAATATTTAAAACAATCGCTTTTAATAACCATATACGGGTCTTGCTCTCGAATTTCATAAATTAAACTATCGGTATCAGTATAAACGGCAGTACAGTTACCTCCAAATCTATCCATCATGTAGTCGTAGTGAAAGCTGTATATGGTCGTCTTAGCTAAATCAAGAATGGCTTGACCTACGTATATAGGTTTATTTAAATATACTTCAAGCTTATTCATTTCTACCGCCACCAAGTTCTCATTAAATATAACGCAAGATTTAAATTCTGGTTTTGAGATATATGATTCTGCACCATAACGACCCTCCCATTTGGATAATAATTTAACGTCAAGTCGTTTTCTA